ATGGTTGGCCACACAGATATTTGTATTTTGCTAATTTAGACTAAACAATACAATGCCAGAGAGTATCGTCCTAAAAATAGTTCCTACATACTCCTAAGCATATTTTCTAAAACTGCAGTGTGTTCCTGGGACCTACTACAAAGTCAAGTAACAGCAAATAAGGCGTGGAAACAAATAAATCATTTGCTTCTAGCTTTGCTTGTAGTTGCTAGCTTATTTTATGCAGAATAATTAAAAGGAATTCTTTCCTCCAGGAACTACTTGTACAACATGGAAGTTATGTAAAGATTGGTCTGGTTAGTAGTTTCTCCATTCTTTTGGGATTCCTCCAGATGGTATGAAATCGGATCTGAGGCTGGTCCCTCAAATACCAATAAGACTAACACCAATTTATCAGCCATCTCATATTGGTGTCAATACTAACAGGGAACACTGCCTCTTTTCCTGGCGATGCCCACTGACTTTATCCATATGTTCATGTACTGACACTGTCATAGTCAGGGAAATGATATAATGCAATGGCTTGAATGCACAGGTCGGGAATATAGGAAATATAAAAATCTTCAGAGGCATAGCTGCCATTTGCCTTTGTCAGTTCTAGAACATTCCTCATCTACTATTTAGCATTGCTCTACTTAAGACAACCACACAGATAGCTTTACTATAAAAGATGGTGGTTCTTCAACAAGTGGGTCCCAAACAGGTCCTGTTAAACCAAATACAACTTTGATAAAAGGGAGAAAAGAGCCAGTCTCAGATTCTTTTTTTCTCTGTGCCATAGGATGGATGCGTAGTGGTTGGAAAAAACATGAACATAGTTCTTTTAAGCAAACCATATTCATTAACATGGTAGCAATTCCCTCCCCTCTCTGGAGAGGGTATATGTGGCAGAAACAATAATCCTCAGTTCTAATGATCATGGGTTAAGTGCCTCTTGATGTTTCATGTTTTCACAATACATCTGTGGATAGCAATAGACTTAATCTAGAGAGGTTTGGCCCCTTGACAAATGGTCTCCACAGAGAGCAAACAGAACCAGGGCACTTAAATAACACCACAGTCACTAATGATATGATTATGGAAGGTGATAATGCAACAAGAATGACTCTCAGCAGCTTCCAGGAGTTACAACTCAGAGGAACAGAGCCTATTAGAAAAGATACACCCAATTTCTACTTCACAGTGTTGCTATGATGTATAATCTTTTTAAATAGATGAAAAAAACCCACAAGACAACAGAGAAAAAGCTATTTAAACATAAATAACTTGCTCTCAGCAGGCTTTGTGGTTTAAAGGACTTGTGGTAATTGAGTTCCAGAACCACAAAAGCAGTTCTCAAGTCCGGTCATCTCATCACCCTACATTATACACCATGATGTCAACAAATTCGGAGAGGCAGAAGATACAGTCTTTGTATGTCTGACAAAAGAGATCACGTGCCAGTGCACAATTCTTATAGGAAACCATACATTAGATTAAGGTGGTGGGGTTTTTTTAGGCTGGAGATTTTCCTCGAGTAAGTTTAGCACAAAGCCACTAAGCCCAAAGCCAATTTCACTACAATTCTTTTTACTAGTGAGATTTTGTTTAGCACATCCCCCGCATAGTTACTCAAAATCAACACCCAACATTCATCTAGGCATTGAAATATGACAACTGAAATCATATGATCGATCATGCCACAGTTTATGCATTCCCACTTCCATATTCTTTTCTCCTAATCATTAAACTGAACTTCCACTTTATTTTCATTCTAGTGATTCTGTTGTCACGTTCTAAATAATTAGTCTGTCTACTTAGCATTCATATCTTTTTGACATCAAATCACTGTTTAAATAGGGATTTTAGAAATGACGTAGCAGATTAGAGAAACACAGAGACTTTCATGTTTCCCCTCAGTTACTGTAAACTCATGCAATTTCTTTTTTTTTAAAAAACAAATAAAACCCTCCAGGCCACTACTGATTTTGTTGCACTTCTCTCAACTCCCTTCAGTGTTCTGGATGTGTTTTATGAGTTTGCCTCCTGAGGAACAAACTGAAGTTCAAAGCCAGGGAATGCTCCCACTGTAGTCAATGCAAGGATATATGCCAGGAGCGGGACGTAAATTTCTATCTATAGTATAAGCCTTGTATGGATTAAAGCATTTAAAAAGTGGAGCCTTGTATGCTGGTCCCTAGCTCTTATCCCCAGATACCTTCCTACCTCACTAATCCAGCTTTCCTCAGGGAATCTGGGACATCGGTAGTAGCTGCTACTGAGAGCATCAGTTATTCTAATCCTTTTTGCTCATATTGTTTAATGAAATTTGGTATCTTCTTAATTTGAGCAGAAAGGAATCTCCCTCTTCCTCACCAGCTTGGATCAGGAACTGCTACTAGACCTCAAAGGTCTAGCAAAACTCCATTTTGCCACTGAAAGAAGAAGTTAGGCAGCCAAGTAGCAAGTCTTTTGTTCTCTCATTCCACTGTGTCACAGAGCTGAAAACAGTTTGCATACAAAGTTATCTGTGGTTCTGGGCTTCCTATGTTAGAAAGAACATGACAGATCATACTGGGATTTGCACAGATGATGCCTCATAGGCCGGGTTATTGCCTATGGAAAAGTAGTCACGCATGTCATCAGCATTCTGCTCAGAGGAGTTCATTACCTCATTCCCACCATTGCAGTGAGTAAGGCAGGAAGAAGGATGACGTTCTTTATTCCACTCCAGTTCTTTGTACTCAAGAATGATAAAACCTCCCTGTGGAGCTTAATATCAGCCTTATCGTAAGAGTGCAAAGGTCTGGGAAAAGCAAGTTCAAGAAGAGTTAGTGAATGCACTGTAAAGAGTGCAATGGGAATGTGAATCTGAGAAAGAATGTCCAAGAGAGAATGCCTCTAAATGAAGCAGTGAAGATAAAGGGGCAAGACTCTCACCATCGGTCAATACTGTGTTTGTCCTTTGGTTCCTCTAACTTCAATTTCTGCCCTGAGAGCTTACACTCTGGATAATAAGGCGCCCCACCACATCACAGTCTGAACTTCTCAGACACTCCTGGATCACGCAGCGTTTGTCAGTGCTTTACCTGCTTGTTCTCAAAAATCTGCCGAAAACTCATTCTGCTGCTTTAGAAAGAGTAACGACACAGAGAGGACAGCCATGAACAGCACAAGAGCCTCGTCAGAGCAGGAACCAAAACAACAAAGCTTTTTCTGAAACATCATCTGGACAGTCACGTAGCAACAACACTCTGTCAGTCATATATAAAGCAAAGGCTTCCACTGTCCTCTGAAGCATGGACACACTTTCCTCCAGAGACTAATACTAAAAGGAAAAACAAATAGACCCGGATTGCTTCGCATACCTCCTGGGTGGCCTGCTATCTGATACACAGTTAGCTCCACTACTTAGGTTCAGCATAGAAAAACAAAACTCCTTTTCTATTCTACCACGAAGGGAAGACTTGTCACTCTTGGTGCCAGTCTGGTACCTACAGAATCCAGGACAGGCCTCTACATTTGCAAAGCCCATAATAATTTCTGAAAGCAATACATTTAGTACAACCTGGGTGTAATCAGAGAAAGAAGACTACAGGCTGGCTCTGAGAGAACACTTCTAACAGTGAACTTGGAGTTAGACTGTCTTAAGAGAAGTGGAGGAAGGTCACCATATGCGTCGTTTGAAACAAAAAAGGGCAACACTGTCGGGAGAAGGCATTGCTCAAGAGATGGGTTTGATGGCTTAACAGAAATTAGACTTGGAAAAGCTGTATTTCGTGAACCACTTTCTGAGGACTGGATGGGAATGTTCCCCTACACCTTCAAATCCAAGACCAGGAGAATTTTAGTAGATGACATATATAAAATAAGTCAACACAGCATAGAGCACAGAATTTCAGGGGACAGCACTGTAGCCTTTTAGGCAGTATCACAAAACTGGAGGCTAAATGCTAACCCTGGCTTTATTCTTTCTAAAGTATGTCTAAAGTCAAGAGCTTTCTCTGATATCTGTCCTTCTGTGAAATTGGTGCAAGCCAGATGAATATGCCAGTGCTAAGAAATGAATAAAACTTTTCTAGATCAGTTTAAAGGGAAAGCTACTGTCTTTTCTTCCAAACTCCTGCTCCCTGCGGCTAATGCTTCATAAAGAGCTGGTTATGAAGAAAAAAAATATTATTTACTTTAAAAGATGGACTCTGCTTTTATTAAAGACTTGCTCCAGGGTGCATACCATGTGGTGATAACTGCTTTTGTCTTCTGCTCTAAGTAACAAACAATATTATTCTTAAGAAAGAAAAATCTCAATGTTATATCAAACCAAGACTATCCTGCACACCCAGCATATATCACAGGATGAACTGTTGTCTTTAATTGCCTTCTACAGCTCAGTTACAAGCAGAACCAAAGGCCTAACTCAACTGCATACCAACACTAGCCAGACCTTGATAAGCACAGCAATGCCCATACAAGAACTGGACAAATAATTATGCCTGTTTAACAGTGAAAATCACTCTGCAAAGAAGTGAGATATTCTTAAGCAGTCAAAAATCCTGTTAAACTCCAGCAGATTAGAAAGAGCAGAGCCCCAAGCTGCAAACTTCATTTGATCAAGGCCAAAGACATATTTCTTTGGTTTTACAGAAATGACCAGTGAAAAAACTCTCACAATAGCACATTGCCCACAGGAGCGGAGCTTACAGAAAAAATAACAGAATGCAATTCAACAATTGATGCCAAATTGAACCTGCTGTGCATATACACTCCATTTCTCACCATCAGCAACCTTTGATGCAGTAAATATTTTGGTTTTGTATACAAATTATTTATGACAATGCAATATTTGGGACTGCAGTGTTAAAGAAAAGGAAGATGATGGAAACTCTGAGTACAGGTAAACATGCAAAAATCAACAGACTGAAATACATACATTTCTTTGAAGTGACATTGCTTACTGTGCACCTATAGAAATGTGGTGAATTGCTCTCCAGAGAAAAGTAAAAATATACCTATTGCCTTACCTGGTAACCTTCAGTCTTCTTTTGGCACCATTTCAACAGAGCATTCCTCTTCGAACCACCATACTCCCGAGCCAGGGCTGCCAGCGGGTCCTTTCTCTCCACACTAATCCAGGGAAGCATAAGGGAGAAGAAGATAGATATGCTGGAATTCTCTTATTTTTTATCGGAGTGTAAATAATATTTGTATGACAAAGTAGAATAGCAGCACAGAACCTAAATGTAAACCAAACTGTAATAGCTTTCAGAGCTTGCATTCTATATTTGTCTTTAGATGAGACGAATTCAGTTGGTATCACTGCGTACAAAGAGCTGAAAAAAAAGCAGCCTATGGATATTCGATGCCATGTGTTAACCCAGCATTTCTGCTATTGCGTTCATCAGCTTTACTTATAAAATTTTCAAGTAACCTCTTTGCTTTACATATTGAAAACTAGGATTTAAGGTGTATTGAAAGAAAGTATCTAAAGAACGTGTAACAGCATACTCACATCCAACTGAGGTGCTGCAGAACGAGTTCTTGAATAAAACGGAAAATCTGGAAGCTGTACTGCAGTCAAGGCCTTGAGGACAGTTAAAGGCCAATGATGAAAACACCCATAATTGTCTCTACAGCTTCTACTGTTGGAAAATATGTATGTTCTTTCTCAAGACAAGAAAATGACGTGTCCAGCTTTCCCTTAGACCTCAAAGCTTTTAGTTTTTAACTCACCATAACATGCAAAGCTACAGTAAGACAACAAGAGTTGACCACTCATACACATGATGGAATTCTTATCTATAAGAATTATATAAGTATAATAAGTATATAAGTATACAACTTAGTGACTCCTGAAAGCTTGCTATCCTCATTTTGTCATGATCGCTCATCTTACGGATAGTTGTGATTATAATAATCTGAATTTTGAAATCTGAATCTGACACAGCCTGGTAATTCTGAACTGGACAGACTAGCCAGCAGAGTTTCCACTGGAGACAGGGGTCCACCAGATTAAAACATTCATCTTGGTGCCAGGTAATGCTGTCAATCTTTCCCGTGTGCTGTTTTTCCCAAGAAACTAAGTTTGTACCTGAGTTTGCTTTGGGGTTTCAAGCTGCTGGGGGTAGAGGTAAGCATTCTGCTGCTGAAGGCCATAGGGGGTTTGCTCAGGGATTCCAGGGAGGGGCTTTTACGGAGGTAATGGTCTGGTTTCAGCTCTTCGTTTCTCCCCTTCAGAAGGTCTGTGGGAATTAAAAAAAAGCTGCCAGTTTGCAGTCTGAGGAATTTGATTAATCACTGTCCTGCCACCCAGCACACAATATGTAGTCTGTTGTTTTGATTCTAAACAAATGTACTCATTTGTTCATTAAACACACATGGGGCTAGGAAACCTTGAGCAGATTAGAGGTGATCATAACAAGAAATGGCTTTGATGATTTCAACAGTACAGACTGCCTGGTTTCCTGTGATTGATACTCCTGCTGGGGGGTAGGGGCCTCAGGTGAATGAGGGGAAATACCAAAATCTACAGTCTTAAAGGTTCAAAAGCGGATCACCAGATATCTTCACCAGATGACTGACCAGCCCTAGTACAACGATTTCTTTTCTGCCATTAGCAGACTTGGAAGAAGAAAGCCTCTTGTCTCCTGAATACAACCCAGATCAAGGCAGCAGCAAAAGGCACTTATTATCACATCACGCTTGGTATCCTATCTCCCGGAATTTTGTGAAGTCTCAATATATTCATAGCAGATGCATATGTATTTTTATTACACATATTATGTACTTTTATATAATGTATTTTATTATATATATTTGTGTGTGTATCTATATAACTCAAAATCAACAAAATTAGTAGCCATAGAATCCAACATTGATAGGTTTTTAAAGAGAAGCCAAAGAGATCATAGAAATCAAATTATGTCCTCATGCATATCAATCATGAGGTAGAACAATATATAATACAGGGAAAGTTGACTACTTCATTTCTATAGACAAACTGTCAACAACCAGGATCTATGGACAGCACATTATGAGCTGTTATCAGAAATTAACTGAATGTGGAACACAAATTTTCTCTTCCTTTTCAGTTACCTCCTTATGTTAATTACCAATTAATGCCATATCACGTAGAGGTGTGAATTTCTTCTTGTCTCATCTTCAAAGGCTACTACCACTGAATCAGTCCTAAATTTCTTTTCAGCAGTAAAGTTAGAGTAAAGAGTTGCCAGATAAACACATCCTTCCAACCAGTGCGCAGCCCTTGCTTTGGCTCCTTTGTAGGCTCAACATTTGTAGCTACTTAGAGCTACGGGCATTTTTGCACCTTCTTTCCACAGCATAAAGGGCTGCTAAGTACCTATCTATTAAGAATTCCAGCTGGAAAAGGACAGAATCCAGTCCCAGGTGACTGCCTCCTTTCCAGCAACTTGGCTGTTGGCAGAGCTTTGTTGCACTGGATTTCATACACCTTGCTGAGTCAGGGACGTCCTTTCTTCCACTCACCCGTCCCTTCTTTGTGTATCCGTAACCAACAAGAAGTAACATACAGCATGCTTTTCACAAGTCTTTTTGCTGGTTTTCCACTATATATTCAAAATGTGTATGACTCTTCTAGGTCCTCATTACATTGGATTTATGGGGAATTACCTCAAATTTACAGAGCCACACCAATCAGACAGGCAACCAGTGAATGATTCTTGGGACTGTTTTAAACTTAAGAATATTCTGCTTAGAGAAACAGATCTACTGCAAAAGGCATTTCAATAAACAAAATCTGAACATTATGAAGAGGAATGTAGGTTTCTCACTAGTTTATAAGGATAAGCAAAAAAAAGGACTGTGAAATTGTCATTAACATAATTGGACTGGCTAATGGGATGGTCTAATTAGGAAGTGCTGTGCCAATCATTCAGGATGCATTCATGCACGGTACAGAAAAAGGAAGAAGGATGCCACAGGTATAAAGGCTATTGGAAGTAGCTAGCTGGAAAGAAAAGAGGGGGAAGACGAGGGCATATTAGGAGTCATTTGAAAAGAGAAACAGGATAATTATATGAAAAATATGCAACATGATTAAGGAAAATCACATTCTGTTAGCACTATCTATTCGCACTACTTAACTATTTAACTTTGTGGCTACTGGCTTGAATCATACAGTAGTGCCTGAAGTGGTGCAAGTCGAGTATCACTTGCATGAGTAATATACTTCCTTTGACTTATTTCTGGCTGCTAGAAACACCAGGACAGAACCAGAAAACCTGTGATTCTAAATAAAAAGATGACAGCCAAAGATCAGCGCTCTCTGCAAAGTAATCCATTCTCCTCTCCAGCAATGTAACATTTGGGTCATATTAAGGACATCACAGAATCCCGTTGTGATACTGGTCAGATGGAATCAGACAGAAGATTATTATTATGGAGACTACTTCACCCTGGATTTCCTTGGGGATATTTTTTAATTTGGTGTTGTTTGTATAGGGCTTGAATCAACTGCCTTCTAGGATTATTTAGATTGGAACCAGAGCTATTACAACTTTATAGTAAGTAAGCCTTTGCTATGGATTATTGGAACTAAATTAAACCCAGGTACAAAGAGAAGCTGTAAATACAGGAACTAGTTAGATAAGCAACCATAAATTTTTTACCATACAATGGCTAATAAAATATCTGTTGATTTCAACAGATTTTCACACAACAATTGTCTATGGGTAATAACAGTAATTATCCATGGCCTGAAGTGGGATATTTTTATTAAGGATTGGTGTTAATATAACACAGTTGACAGATTACTTCACTCTACAGTAAACTGGTCTTATGTTCTGCTTAGGATCATTGTATACTCTCATGCAAGACATTTTCTGGAAACCAAATGATAAAAAAAGTAAAGTCTCTATTCCACAGATAAATTCTGCTTGCCTAGCATTTACTCCTGCAGGAGAAGCCAGTAGCATAGACAAGATGTTATTTGTTTATGCTGCCATCTACCCTATAACCTGTTTTGCTGTTCAGATCCAGTATCTCTTCATCTTCAAATGATGGAAGGGGAAGTTTAGCAGATTATCTGAAGAGTCTAAAGATGAAGACAGGTTCTAATTTCTCTCCTGCACTAGCAAACTATTGCAGAAAATCCAGTCTACCAATGAAGAAGTTGTGACTGATTTTTTTTTTTGTCCCTTCCTGCAGTTTCACTACAGGTATATTATATTTCATCTGTCCTTAAAAATTCAATAACCTGGTGTTACTAGCTTTGACTCCAATGCAACAACTACATTCAGGACTAGATAATAAAGGGCCCTAGAGAAAATGGGAAACAAACACTGGTAGAAAAGAATATTAAATGACAAGAGAACAAAAGCAAAGTGTGAAATAAAAACAAACACATGTCTTGAGAACTCTCAAACAATTTCAAGCCCAAATATGACTGCTCCTAAAGCAGTCACATTGGTATCTGAAACATTTGATGTATTTCAAATGAAGCTCAATTTAAAAACAAATAAACCCTCAAAAGACAGTGCTTTGGACTTGTTCCAGATACATACATGTTGAACGAAGTCCAGTCCTCTCCAGTTCCACAGCATGGATTAGAGAGGTGCCATGGATACTTTGGAATAAAGAAGGCAAGTTTGTATTGGCAAACCATAATAAATCAGCTATTTTTTAGTTTTCTAGGGCTATGATCAAGATGGGAATGGAAACATGACAAAATTAATAAGCTCTCTAAAACAAAGACTCTGAAGACACTTTTTCATGTTTCCTTTGACCATATGAGAAGAAAAACAGCCCAGGCAGAGGCCAACAGTTAATGACAATCTTTTGCTAGTAAAAAGAGGCAACATTTTTATGTTTACCGCAACCTACCTGCAAGAGGAAGGTCTGAAAGATCTGTGTGTCTGGCAACGCCCTTGCTGGCTGGCTTGGCATTATTATAAACCGAATGTCTCTGTGAAACAAATGTACAAAAGATAATTAAAAAAATACTAGCCATCATGCATAAATAGACAAACATAAAGAAGAGATGTTTCTGCTGTCTCAAGATCACAAAGCAGGTGGAGGGACACAGAAACCTTTCAACAAGGTATGAGCTGTACCTAGAGCTGGATAAATGGTTGTGAAAAATAAAAGGACAAAGGGACAATGTTTCTAGCTGGTAATGCATTGGTTCCTGAATTATTTCACATTTGTATTTGCACCTTCTTTTTCTCTTGCCAAACATCATCTAGTGTCACAAACCCAAAGTAAGAATGCCTGTTCCTAACCCTGCCTCTGTCCCCAGCACCCTGAATCATGTCAGAAGGACTCTTGTCTCTGCACCAGTTTTCAGCATTAGTCCCCCCTCAGTGAGGCATTAATAGAAGGTTCACAGACCTCTGTTCAATCCCATTCTTTAAAATTCTTTTGCTCATTCTTTGAAGGAAACATGCTCACACATTTGTTAAGTAGTCTTTCAAAGTCATCTGATTCTTCAGAATACTTACCTAAACACCCTAGCCTCACAACTGGTTTTATACCCAGATTCAGAGGGGAATATCCTGTTGTGAGTCCAGTGACCACCCAGTCAAAAAACATACAATGGCATCAGCCATCGCAGTCTGATGGTATGCCACCTTCAGCATATGTGGAAATCGGGAAGCACAGTGCATTTGCCTCTCCATCGTTCACAAAAGCAGTATTTCCAATAACGTTGCACCATAGATTTGAAAACTGCGAACAGAAAGTTAACTAACTGGTGCGGTGACATAAGAAGTACTACATTCCAGAGCAGTTATGCTTCAGTAGGAAAAAAAACAAACTGTAAGAGCTCTTCATTCAGCACTGTACGAACTTACTGGATAAGTGGGAGCGTACGTCTTAGAAACTTATCATTCCATGTCTCTCAACTCACATGCCAGTTACCTAGTTTAGATTGATATTTCTTGTAACTCGGTCTCAATAATTGAAACCTACTTTCTGGTCAACAGTGATTAAAGTTCAGAATTGTATTCCAAAGAGTTCACATCCTTCCACTGAGACCTCTAAGCTGAAGTCAAAGACAAACTCACTTTGATCCTTTTTGTTAGTACTACAGCATTTGATGTTTCACTGCAAATAAACAGATGAGTTTCCCCTTCCTGCTGTCAACATATGCATGCTGAAGCTACGTCATGCTGTAGCAAATACTGCATCCATGCATTTTAAAACTACAAGGATGGAAAGAGCTCCTTTTACCTGCATGGGGGAAACAGCAGCTGCTGGGGCTGTCCTCACTGGAATTCCACTTAGAGGGCTCCTGGGGACCTTGTGAACCGTGATATTTTGTCCAGTGCTACCTGTAAGGAAAAACACATTGAAACATTTGCATTTCAAACCCATCTATCTCCCCCTTGTCAGAACAGGGAACCACTGGTGTAGTGACATTTCACAGACAGTATTTATGTACCAAGCACTGACAGAAAATATCCATTAAGAAGCAAGCAGCAGCACAAAATAGCAAAAATTACCTGCTCACTACTAGAAAAATTTTCTACTACAAAATACAATATTCAACTACCTGAGCATCCTAAGTCAAATGATTTTATCAGTGATTTCACAGTGGCTGCAGATTCTGATGGTGTGGGAGATGCTCTGCTAATGCAGACTCCTTGCCAGCGGTTGGTTGTATCAGCCTCTAGAGATTCTACTTCTTCAGCTGTCAGCCTGCAAAGCAGAAACCAGATCAGTCAGAGGCAACAGGAAGTGCAAGCAGAGATTAAAGGTCTTTATATGTAGGTAAGGCAAATCCAACGATGCACATCTTCTATTGTGAAGCCCAGAACGTGAACCACTCATTAGAATGTTCATGTTCTTTTCTTGGAGTGCCTGGCAAATATTAAATCATTGAGCTTGACAAACTTTTCTGCATTGTTAACCATAGCATTCCCTTTCCTCATCCTCATACAGGATGGAGAATTAAGATAGAAAAAAGCAGTTTGATGAGACTTTTGAGTAATCAATCATCGATAATTACATGAAGATGGGCTTTCAATATAGCACAAGGGCCAAGGGGCTACTGTGGTCCTCGTTATACTGTGTCTAATGAGGAAAGTAACCAAAAAGAAAGATGTTATAATTGGCATGACCACTGCTGGAGTAATTGTTACCAGTTAAAATGCCATAACTGAAAATAAGTAATTGGACAGGACTCAGGTAAAAGCCATAAAAATTAAACCAGAAAATGATAAAACACTATAATGAAAACTTTGGAAACTCAACTCTTACAGTTTATCTACAAGGAGAACTGCTGAACAAGTAAACCCTCAATCACAATCCATAAGCAGTTACACAGGGAATAAAACTGTTGAGTGCTTTATCCTAGCAGGCAGAAGAATACCAAAATTCAGTGGCTGGAATGAAGATAGACAAACTCAAAATAGAAAGGCGGCTTATATTTTAACAGGCAGGATCATTAAGTTAGACCATTGGAA